TACTACTACTACTTGTAGTAGAGCCCCAGTGACGTTTCAACACCACCATTACCAACCCCCGCCGCCGCCGCCGCCGCCTCTGTCTCCACCGCGGCATGTGCACATGCCGCGCCAACATTCCGCCACGAAAGCCAAGAAACAAGTGACCACCACCCGCCCGGACGGGGTGCCCCAGCGGCGGCACAGCGAGTGTGTGAACGATGTGCAGAGCATTATCCATCACCATAACGTTCCCACGGATCGCGACAAGGAGGCGGATGACGACATGCTCTGCAGTCCAGGGAGTGCGCGGTCGCTCAGTTTTGCAGACGTCGTGGTCAAGCACTCTTAACAACATTAAAACATGTCTAGTATATCAAACATATATTACCAATTTTAAATCTATTAGTGTGAATATTCGTCATATTTCTAAAAAAGACAAACTTAACAACATTAAAACATGTCTAGTACATCAAACATATACTACCAATTTCAAATCTATTAGTGTGAATATTCGTCGTCGTTGCTTTGGTGATCACAGTCGTGGCAACTGGTCGTGGCATCGATAACACCCACGACAGTGTCTTCCATCATTGGACGACTGTCTTCCGCTACTACTTGTCGCAGGAAACGGTGTCACAGCAACGGCACTCTTTTGCTGAAACTGGTCGAAAGCATCCAGAGTATCGGGATTAGGGTTATTTCAAAATATTATATTTGAGAGTACTCATATAAGCTTTCCTGTATAAGCGTCAAATATAATACTATTAAAAGATATAGGTTATTATTTGTAAATGTGATATTTGCCTCATTTCCGTCATGTTTTGTGACATATCTCACAAGATATTCATTTCTACACCTGACATCCAAAGAACGTTTTTTATATGGTGTTTAGTTATGAGCACATATGAAGTTTCACTGAAAAAGGCCATCTGGACCTTGAGAAATGCATAAATATTCCCTCGATGCCTTCGACCACTGTAAGTTTGTCTTTTTTAGAAATATGACGAATATTCACACTGATAGATTTAAAATTGGTAGTATATGTTTGATACTAGACATGTTTTAAAGTTGTTAAGTTTGTCTTTTTAATCTTTTTATGTTTGTCTTTTTTAGAAATATGGTGTCCTTGCAGTAGTGGTGGTGGTGGTGCTCACGACCGGCAATAAAGAAAGCCCTAGAGACAATGCACATGAAATAGATGGCACCATGAGTTTGTTCGAAATATATATATATATATGCTGCAGGTATATTTTATATATATATATATATATACGTACATGCTTTTCACGTTTGCATTTGATTTGCTCGAGCTTCATGAGGGTTTGGAGAATGTCCTTGGCGTGGATGACGCTGATGTTGCTGGCTTTGACCAGTTCCCCGATGGACCTATGACAAAAGTGGGTCGAAGAGATGACAAAACGGGGGGAGACGCACATGCCGCGAAGGGAATCGCCGAGGACAAACAGCACGCGCTCGAGTTTGGCGAGTTCCGGCGCCGACTGGTACTTTGGCGGGATTTTACCACGGACGCCTATGACAACGATACTTAGGCGGGAACGCGCGCCATTCGCCAAGGTACCTTTGGGCCAGTGGTACAGTCGGGGCGGGGCAGCGGGTGGCGGCGGCGCTTTTTTCGCCTTTTTTGGTCGAGGAGGATGCTCGACATTCGATTTCGGCGGTAGGGCACTGGCGACTTTGAGAACGGGGATCTTTGACGAAGACGATGTGGACGGAGGTGGAATGCCGGACGAAGGCGGCGTCGACAGGACAGTAGCAGAGTTGGACGAAGGGGCGGCGGCGGCCTTCTTGGGAGGCGGCGATGGCAACGGAAACTCGACGCATGTTTTCTGGAGGTTAATGGCCGTGCAAAACGTGCCGAACGAGTGGTTGAAGGCCACCAGCTCATTGTTCACATCGGACAGTTTCTGAACGTTCTTGTTCAGGTCCCGCATCGCGTGCCGCAGCCGCGCCAGCTCCCGCTCCACCTCGGCGTGCATGATGTCGACGTGGGAAATTTCAAGTTGTCGTTCAGGTTTTTAGCCAATCAACAACAGCGGTCACAATAACTCATTGGTTACTTTACCGGAAAAATAGGATGGTGAGATATTTTGCATTTCGAGAGCACAAGGGCGATCTTTCAGATGCCGACGAACGTGCCAGCCTTCGACATCCAAGTAGGACCAACGAACGAACTACAGTTGATGGCTTCTGACCACGTTCATCAGGTAACTTCCAAGGATGAAGTTGTCCAGGACTCGATACTTCTCGCCGAGGAGCTCTGGCAGCTTGCTTCGATGGCGCACGGGCCTCACGGACAGTAGGTTCCACGGATACCGTCCGTTGAAGAAGGCCTTATGGGGTAACTTCGGGGCAGGTTCATTGTAGTACAAGCAAACAAGGACTGTGGCGATGCGTTCATCATCACATCAAGCGCCAAGCGCATCTTGGATCATATCAAGTGTGTTCCTCCATCGTCGATGTATCGTTGACCTATTGTGTTTCCCCTTTCTTGCAGATTGAAATCTCCCATGGGTACCCTCGTCGCACAGTTTGTGCAAAGCCATGTACGCACCTCTGTCACACGTATTCATCTTATGGTGTATATACACCCTACTAGATCAACCAGTGTCACGACGGCGGCCTCTTTTGCATCATGCTAGCATCGTCGTACGCAACGATCCGTCCCCTTCCTTCCTCTACAGCCATCATCCACACAACCAACTGCATTGTTATTAGACTACTTCGAAGCGTCCACAATGTCCTACAAGGCATTCCCAAGCATAGACTGGTCTCTGGTACGTACATATCTTCACCTAGAACAGCAAGTACATCGAGAATGTACATAGGGTTTCGCCTAGCATTGGACTGGACACTGGACGAGCTAGATGGCATCCAAGAGAACGACTTGGACTGGAGCGACCACGACGCCATCGTGGCTGTCCTGCGAGGCATTTTGTCGGCGAAACACGTGGCAGCAGTCCCGGATGCGGCCATGGCAATGCTCGTGCACATGTTTGTGCACCATATTCCCTGGCTATTGGAACATCCCACGGTGCCACCACTGGTTCGAGTGGTGGTATCGCGGCCGCAGCTCCCTCACTTGACGGACCACATGATTCTTCACCACACAGTGTTGATTCCTGGATACCGGCACGTGACTCATCTGCCGCTGCGCCACGTCACGGTCGCTTTGTTCAATGTCACTATTCGACCGACCACCACGCCAACTAGTGACATTGAAGTCACTATCAAAGTCGACTCGGGAACATATCATTCGGTGTGTGTGTGTGTATCTGTCGTATATCAAGTGATTCGATGATGTTTCTCGTCTAGGTCATGACGCCGTCAGCTGCTGGAGTCCTCCAAGAGGCTGAACTGACCGGCTGGGCCACCGTAGCCACCCGTTTGCAGGCTTGTGGGGTGCAGATGGTCCTGTCTCAGAAGAAAATTCCAGCATTCCTAGCTGCCCGTTTGAACGACCTCGGAATTGCATCCGTCGAGCGCCTGTCCATCCAACACCTCGGTCTAATGACTCTGTAAGGCTGGTTTCGTGCTCATCATGGGGTACACGTAGACGCGGTCCAAGCGGTGACGGGTGCGGCCGTCTTGAGCGACTGGATGGCGACAGACGTGACGGCCGCGGACCTCGGGAAGGTGGATCATGCGTATGCGTTGGAACTTGGTGGCGTCGAGTATGTCGCGCTGACATGTGATCCGGCGTCCCATGAGACGAACGAGGTATCATATGCACGGACACGACCAATGTCGACGATCAAGATGGACTGTATCGACGACATGGCGTTCGAAGAGCTCAACCACGTGCTGCAAGTACGAGAAATGGCGTCTTGGTTGGGGGGTTGACCCTGGGTGTTTAGGCGGCGATACACGTGCTCACCAATTTGTTGGTGGACCCCTCAGTTTGTGCAGGCGCGGGTGACACGGAGAGAGCGCTTGTGCGGCAGCTGCGTCGTCGTGCGGTGGGTCTCACGGCCGTCGATTCGCGTGATCGAGCCGAATGTCGAGGATTGAAGCGCGTCGTGGATTCCTTTGTGGATGCGTTGGAGAGATGTACATTGCCCGAGCAGCAAAAGGGAAGTGTCATGCCGGATGTGTTGGACTCCGCGGCAGTGAAGACAAGCGCCATCGTGACCGCCGTCACCCTCGTCACGACACTGCTGCGAGTCGACGGCGTGATCGTTGCTGGGGCAAGTTCGAATCCTAAATAGGGAAGGCAGAGAATATCCAATTAAATTCCCCTATTTCTATCATGGCCAATCAAAAGGCGCGGTGTTTTCCAATGACCAATCAAAACCTTTCTGGATTAATATCCAATCCAGTTCGCGTATGCTAACTCGAGCCAATCAGAATGAACGAATAGAGTTCCCACGGAACATAATCCATTGCGCGCGCTATTGGAGCAAGCATGGCCGACGGGACAGGACAGGAAGCGGCGACGGCGGTAAAGGCCAAGCCCGTCGACGATGAGGACGAAGCCACGCTAGAGTATGAAGAAATCCGCGTGGGTGAGATCATCACATACTACACGAGGCTGTTTGTGGCTGGCGATCCCCGTGGAAAGCGCGTGTCCAAAAGTACGTATAACCCCCATGCATGCAACGTGTGAGCTCACGTGGAATACAGTTGTTCGCATTCGTAGCGACATCAAGAACGAGTACCCGATTCATGTGGAGAGTCAAGATGCGTACGTCACCCTCGTGCTCGACGAGGGAAAGGAGGGATGGTGTAATGGAGAATTATGTGTAGGATCTCGAAACACGACATGGTGAAGCGGGTCAAGGATGCGCAGGGCAATGCGGTCGAATGCGGCTTGTATCGAAAAGTGTACACCTACGAGTTGATTCCAGGCAAGATTCGGGGCGAGATGGCCAGTGCGGTCCTCAAAGCCGCCATGAAAAACGTATGTGAAACGTTGGCCAAGTCGAGCATCGAAATCACATTCGGGTAGGTTGTTCGCGATGCATTTGCCAAAGTTTATGGAAGCGAGCCCCCTGCGTCCAAGAAGCGGCGGCGGGACGCTGCTGTCGACGAAGTGAAGCAACAACACGCATCATACAAACCCAAACGAAAGGCCGCCTCAACCACGAAACCAACGACCACTTCGTCGAAACCCATTTCTATCAGCAAATTCTTTCTCCCCAAGTCCACTGCAACTACTTCCGACATCCCTATACAACAGAGCAAAGGTCCTGAACCTGCTGCATCGCGGAACGTCGACAAGGCTGCGAACACACGCAACGACGACCCACTGTGCTTCATGTCCCCCACCACCGAAAAACACACGTCGCCCCTACAAGTCAAGTCCACATCGTCTAATATAGTCGCTGCTATGGTGGTCTCCACTGGCACATCTCGTGAATCCATCGCAACAACCGCCAAGGAACGTTGGCCTCCCAAATCCTCGACGAAAATTGAACGTCCACCGATCAAATCAAGCGCTGCTTGGTGTGAATCGACACAACCACTGTTCAAGTTGCCTCAGGTAACGGCTCCTCTCTCGCCGCTATCGAAATCGTATAATCACCGACTTAGGCTGCGTCGAACCCTGCAAAACGTTCCTCCTCATCATCGAAGCAGGCCATGACGTCATCCTCTGAATCCATCGCACCGTCTCACATATTCATCAAGCCCACCGGGGCCACGCCCTCGTCCGTGCGCCCGGTGAAAACGGCATCCTCGACCTACTTCAATAAAGTCGAGCGCGTGCCCCGTAGTAATAACCACATTGCTGCTACTTCCACCACACGAACGCTAGATCCGACTGCCCCCGTCTCACCCGCTGGACACCCGACCCGATCACTGACCAACGACAAGGTCGACGAGGATTCGTTCATGTCCCCAGTCGCTTCAGCTTTGCCGTCCTCTCAGGTGTCCTCTCGAGCGTTTGTACCGCCTTCGATCACCTCCAAAGCCTCCCAGCCATTCTCCAATTCCAGCCGCTCATCGTCTGGCTCCCTGGGTACCGCGTCGTTTCGCCATCGGGATCGTTTGCCACCACCAGAGAAGCGGTCAATGTCGTCACCAACCCCTTTGACCACAACCGACATTGCACTCCGAGCACTCGCCCTCTCAGCCGCAGCCACGGTCAAGCGCAAACCCGTCGACGATTACGACACGTACAAGGCGCGTCAAGCCAAGAAGACGTCCCGTGAGGAATGGAAAACGCGAAAATCGTCCCTAGCGTCGCTCGAGAACCCTCCCCCCCGTAGGTCGAGCTCGTCCGACAAGGCGCTTCAGTCGCAGCGTTTGGCAGCGTTTGTGTTGAAAAGGCAAGACGAAGAAGACGTTGCCGAGAGGGACCACGTGACCCCGCGAAAGAAGCAATGGCGCCAACAACGCGCGACCTTTCAAGGCAGCCAAAGCATGTTTCACGCGACCAACCCCCCCCAGCTGCAAGAAATGTCGTCAGATGGATGGCGCATTCCCAAAAAACTGGCCAAGTGATTTGAATCCATAATACTGCATGCCCTGTTGAATATATATAATATATAAAGTCCAATAATATCTCCAGAGTCATTTGAGCCGTGCCGGTACAACTGAAGCTTGGTGATGCAACTAGCCAGCCCCCTTGGCAGTGTTCTCTTTGGTTTTGGCCAATCGCAATCGAGTTCCCTTCTCAAATGTCATGCATATTGGCTTGTCCAACTCGACATTATTGCATCTGAACACTTCGTGGTTGCTCTTGACATTCTTGAGGAAAGTCGCGCAAAGGAGGAGGGCGGGGTTGCCGGAAGTAATGACCATCACGTAGTTGCCCGTTTCGGGCATCACAACTTCCCCACAAAGGCGTAGTTGAGTCCAACTGCAGGGTCGCCCCATCCGTGCGCCACCCATCGAATGTTGCGGTCGAACGTTGCAAGTCCCAAGCAAGGTCGTAATGAGTTGATCATCTGGCGGTACGATGCTTTGAGGAGGGTTGTCGTCGTGTGTGGAGTTGCGCATAGAAGATTATGAAGAAGGTAACTGTAGGTTGAGCGAAAGCATGGGACGATGTTCATGTGACAGGGCAGCAGACTAGGCTGTCCTTTTTGGGGTATGTAATCCTTTTGGACGGAGAACCCTGCCTTCACGTGGATGGTTACACTGGAGCGTGGTGGTGAGGAGGAGGGGCCTGGAGATCCTGCTTTCGAAGGCCTGTGTGACGAACGCGATATTTGCGCTCATTGCATGAAGGATGCCATAGAGTCGGCGGGGGGATACGCGAGGGCTGGGTCGAACCAGAGGCCTAGGACCTGATACCAAAACGTATAGGCGGGGGCGTCGGGGGCGTGTCAAATGAGGCGGAGAGGTGGTTCAGCTGAGACTGCGATATCTTACAAGGGGTGTACTACCGGTAGCATGTCACCTGCTTCCGAATGGACAGTTTGACATTGTGAAGTTTATCCACAGCAAGACGACCTTTGCCACGGATGTCACGGCGGGTAGATTTGGAGACGATGACCTCGTGCAGTCGTTGACGAGTTTGTGGACGTGGCGAAGTGGATTAGAATGTTTCTCAGTTGAATTTGGCCTTAATGTAAGATACAGTAATGTGAAATCGATTCGAAACTGGAGCCCTCAGCAGAATCGAATGGCTTACAGTTAGGTGAATCGATTATAGAACCACTTAAGCCAATCAAATCACGTCTTGTCCAATTTCGGCCAATCCAAACGTTTGACTCCTCCGCATTGGGCAAAACCACATATATACTAATTGTATAGTATAGTGTGTACAAGATTAAATACGATCAAATACTAGTAGATTCGAAAGCTATTTGGCGAAATGACTCTCAAGTCCAAATTTGGGTGAAATGCACAATATCCCGGAGTAGTTTTTACTACGTAATCACATCGCGTACTGAAACATTTAACGTTAACGTTAGCAGGAGGAGTCATTGCCCAGCACATCTCCATGAAGCATCCCCTCATGCCACACAAGTCAAATGACTTTAAATGACATGTTGAATAACATCCATGTGTCATGCGTGCAAGTACAACGACAGCTTGATGGCGCTCCCAGTCCCCTTGACTTGGTTCCCTTTGGTCTTGGCGAATCGCAATCGAGTTCCCTTCTCCAACATCATAGCAATTGGTTTGTCCAGCGTCACGTGAACATGTTTTGGTTGTGATGGTCATTCCTGACGAACGTAGCGCAAAGGAGCAGAGCGGGGGTGCCAAACGTGACGACCATAAGGTAGCTGCTTGTTTCGGGAATGACCACTTCCCCTGGGTCGTACAAGTAAAAAATAAACCTATTTTTGATTTGTTAAATAATATAATAATTTAAAATTAGATTGATATAAAATGAAAGCAAAACTAACTATTAATAGGCGATGATCGGCCGAGAAGGATTACTACGTACTACGTAGTAGTACACAATAGAAATACAGGTATCATTTGAATGGATAAAATAAATCACCCCTAGAAGTAAATACTTTTTTATGGAATTTGTCCTACCGTATTCACTGTCAGTACCTAAGATTTCTCCGGTTGGACCTGTACTGGTTTGGAATATATTGGCCAATGACGAACATTTTCATGGTCTCGTTGTACCTAGTTGTCTCTAATTGGACAGAAATATCCAATCACCATGCGATAATTATTTTCATTCAATAAAATATAAGTCCTGTGATGGATTGGACAGAAATATCCAATCACCATGCGATAATTATTTTCATTTAATAAAATATAAATCCTGTGATGGATTTAGACCAATGCGCATGCCTGAATAATTAATTTTCAAGGTACCTCTTGTACCGGGTTTGATCAGATTTCACTGATATTTTCATACTGAAGCGGGGGTACAGTGCTGGGCGGAAAAACGCAGTTAGAGTGGGACTTTAATATCAGGCAAGTCACGGCAAGTAGAATTAACCATTTTGATGGATAAAATCAACAGACTTTAGATGTCAATACTATCTGGTTACATTTCGAAACTAACCAATCATAAACTAGTAATTTCAAATCCATGGATATGAATGAACATGGTTTTCAAATCGCAAAATGACCAAAGCCAAGATCCATTTGAATTGCATTCAACCAGGATTGAATCTAGCCAATTAGAGGCAATGAGAGGCAACGCACATTCTGATTGGTCGTCGAGTAACTAAAATTTATCCAAGTATTATCCAATCAAATGCATCCATACTACATCCTACAAGTACGGATAATTAGGGACTTATCCGGGTGGCAATCCCCAAAATCTTCAGTTAGAGCATCTCCAACGGGATCCCTAAAACCCAAAACTTCGGTTGCTGGTAGAGCATTGGTTTCTTAACTCAAAGATCGTGGGTTCGATCCCCGGCTTCCTCGGATTATTTCCGCAAGGTTTTATCCGTCCCTCCCTGGGGAATCCGGATAAAAGGGCTAGACGAGGACCGAAGTTCGAACAAGCTCGGTCGAAGCACGAGGTATGAAGCGTTGAGCGAAGTAAAAACCGAAGATTACACCGCCCCTGGTCGAGCAGGCGCGCTACAATTGGCGAAGCGGTACCACAACATGTGGTTCTTGTATCGGCCCTCGCGGAGGAATGTCTAATAATGATAATCCAAACTCAATTAATCAAAACTTCGGCTGCACCGTTACTTTATGTTACAGTACGGATAATTTTGGACTTATCCGGACGGATTTGTCCCCAAATTATTGGGATGTCCAAGCGAAATGGGGACAAAACACCCGGATACATCCCCAAATTATCCGTAACTACGAAGGTATCACTATTGTAACAGATTTTGGGGATAACGTAAGGGACATCGATAATTGCAGCAATACTGTTGTTACTGTACGTACGTAATCATTTGGGCCTCTGCCATACAAAACCCACGTTATTTCTGGCACAGAGTCAAATCAAGTGTAAATTCAAAACAACTCATTTCAGCTAGGGGGTAATTGCATCTCACTGGTGATGCAGCTTAACCCCGGGAATAGCATTGTATGTAAGCGCAAGGGGTCGAGGGGTTCGGGGGTTGCAGAAGCTCTTGGTAAAAATGATTACGTAACAACAGTACTACTGTTACAGCGAGGGAATTGTTAACGATATTTGGGGATGCGTTGGTTGGAGATTACCGCTTTCTAACCGTCCAGTACAGTATCCCCAAAGCAACGCTACAGTGGTACTACTCCGTTACGAGTATCCTCTCGTTTCAACTGTGCCTTATCACAAAATTTGTCAATTTTGAAGGATTTCAATGAAATTTGTATTAATCAAAATCTTGGTATTTTGACTTTCTCGTGATATCTTTGAAACTGCTAAATTATTTGCTCAGAGTTTACTGTTAGCTTTCATCAATACAAATATAACCAGATAGTATTTCGGAACGGAGTACAGTGTAGAATTAGCGTTTTAGACGTCCCTTTGGTGATGTCAGCCGAATTATTTTGGTCTTCAGTTATTTGTGGCTTCGTCTACAATTCTCTTGGTCTGGCACTTGTATGCGAAGTACTGCTGTGTTCGTCACCTAGAAAATTCCAACATTTCACAAAACCTCTGGCTGGAGTATTACATATTCATTTCTCACATTTGAAGTAAAATGAGACGTTGTTTTGACAGATCTCCTCGTGGTGACGAGATGTCTCAAAATCAAATTTGGCGAAGAATTGTGAATAATACAGTACAGTAGACTTTACACCAAGTGGTATTTTGAATATAGTAGGTAGGGCCAGTAGGTTTTGGTCACGAGGGTTACAGTTGGTATGAAACTTGTATCCGTACATCGTATCCGTATGCATACTCTATCCTTACGTTGGGCAGAAATAAAACGCACAAAGATGAGGTTTAACGTGGTCATATTCTAGCTTTACATGTTGCTATGGTAACCCACAATGCAAAAGCGTTTTATTGTAAAACCTCCTAAGCGTAGTATCTGAATTGGCACGTTGGAAGGTTATAGTTGACGTCCACCACACAGCGTAAATTACTTTACGTTAACGTTATGTTATTAATAGTACTGTGCTCCGAGTATGTAGTACCAGTACTTACTACTACTACTATCGTATTACTACGAAATAATAGTATTAATAGGTGTGGTACTGTACACTATTAATAGTACAGTACAGTACTACTACGTAGTACGTAGTACGAAGTACTATTAATATTAATAGTACTAGATTGCCACTCACTACTACTGTACTGAGTACTAGTATTACTACGTAGTACTACACCACTTCCCGTTCAAGTTGAAATGAATTTCCAGTCAATGTGAAATGAACACGTTCGAAACACGACGATTTTCAAATCAACATGAATTTTCTAACATTCAACTTGAAACATACTTTGTTTCATATATATTCTGGTGTATGATTTGGATAAAGGAGGAAGATGGGTGAGGGAGGGTAGACATGATGATTGAATCACTATTGTATACTGAAGGGTAGTATAATTCATCACCTTATGGTCACTATACTATAGTTGAAGTAAGTTTAACGTTTCATTTTGATGTGAACATTTTTCATGTTGAGATGTGAAACTGCACTTGTGAAATCTTATAATATTTCTGCATTTCACATTGACTGGAAATTCATTTCAACTTGAACGGGAAGTGGTGTAGTAGTAGTGAGTGGCAATCGGAGTGAAGTCGCTGTCGAGAACAATTGAATTCGCTGTGTATGTCGAGTTTGAGCATATTCCATGCGGTATGTCCACAAGCTGCACGTTTATTCCAAACAGCCACAATGGTGGTTCGGCTAATCAGCTCGAATATTAAGTGTAACGACTGTTCACTACTACTACGTACAGTAGTATTAAAACCTACGTACCGGTACAGCAATACGGCAGTTTAACTGACGTGAACGCAGCGTGGTTACTAACTGTAATTGTGCAGAGTGGACATTTGGAATACGCCTGCGCGCCTTGTCGGGTGCAAATGCACTTAGACCACAGTACATCTGGGTCATGTAACATCGGATTAATGCCTGGCAATCTCTATGGTATACTTCATCTATCCGAATGGAACCCGATAGTTTGAGATACTTTGACGTACATACTATATGACCGACCCGATGCTACTTGTAGTACAGTATGTTTGCATAGAAAACGCATCAACGTTGGCAAACCCAAAAACCCAAGGCACTCAATTGATGGGGAGGACATTCTGCAGGTGGCCGCACTGAACCAGTATATATAAATGCGAGTAAGTACTATACTAGTACTTCGAAGTACTTCCGTAGGACCGAACCTTGTTGATGGTTACGTGGTTCGCTGGTTTCCAGTTCCTGAAAAGAGGTCCCTCACATCGAGTGAGCCCAACCAGACAGGGACAACGTAGTACACTGTATCACGAAGCTAGCTAGACAAATCGCCTTCAAGACCAAAATGATCCACCAACTTTATGAACGTGTAGAAATACGAGAGCAATAGCTAACCAAATGCAGGATTTTCAATGGTGAGTACGTTTGGTCGTGTGGTGAATTGTTGGGGACATGCCACCTGGAAGTGGCAAGGATCACAACAGTAGCTTCAGACTCACTGTGAATAAACCGTACGACAGTGGCAACACAATATGTACTACTACTACCATGAATAAACCGTACGACGGCAACACAATATGTACGTACTACCGTACTTATTCGTGGCATTTGAGAATTTGGAAGTTGCGCCCTCTACCGCGGGGCGACGGCCACGACCACCGACATCGTCACACACATCAAGCATGACTCGGCAAGTTGTGGATAAGTTCGAGCTCACCCGAGATCAACACTTGGAGTTCACCGCGCGCACGAAATCCCACCTCAGCAACATGTTGCAGCTGCTCTCGCTAGGCCAGCAGAAGCAGCACCAGCTTGGCACCAAAGTACACGACAAGATGGGATTGCGTGCGTACACCGACGGCGACAGCACGACAATCACGGGCCACTTGGCCACGACCATGATGGACCTCGAATACGGAGTGTACGCGACCACAACTAAGCAAGTGCAGACTGTGGCCGCGATCCTACACAGCCACCAGTACGACGACGCGGGGCTGCTGGACCTGCAGCAGTCCCACACAATCGAAGATCCGTTTCAGTTTGTCGGCGTGAAATACGTGGCCTTGGCCCGCAAAGGCATGTTTGCCAAACCGCACCAGATTGTGTACCTCGAAGTACGTTTGTACAGTAGTAGTAGTCCTAGTAGTAGTACGAGGTTGCATTTGTACTAACCTCCGCCCTTGTTGTAGGCCACAGGATCACTACACGACGACGGTGTCGCACGACTGTATCAAATGGTCGAGTACGTCGACTTGGTCCATGTCTACACGGCTAAGGCCACGTGGAGCCAGGCGATTCGGCCCGTCTGTTCGACGCTAACGCTATTCGAAGCGGACCCGAACGACATCAAGTCCGTCCGCGTGTTCTCGAGGGCGCGGTACTCCAAGGACACCCCCAGTCCACTCCATCAGATGCATCAACCTCCGGCGTACTGGGAGTACGTGCTGTCGCTGGCGTCCCTCGCCGTCTCCAGGCGGCTCGTCGATGCCACGTCGCTCGTTCAACATTGGGTGCCCAACAGGTATTCTTCTATCTACTAGTACTAGTACTAGTCTGACCTGTTGTTTGCAGTTCGTGCAAAACATGCTCGGTGTGCGACGCGGGATTCAAAGCGCTTCGCCCAAAGCACCACTGTCGCAGCTGTGGTGAGATGATGTGCCACGCATGCTCGATTCCCATCCAGTCGCCTACCGTCATGCACAAGTACTGCACGAAGTGCGTGCTCAGGTCGCGGGAGTTGCGCGGCAACGACAAAGTGGAACTGCCGCGCAAGCAGTCGGTGCGACGGCCCGTGCCTTCGGCCACCAGCAGCAGCAGCCACGATGGAGAATTTTTGAGGTCGATCCGTGAAACCACCAAACACTTGAACACGCCGTCACCGTCACCGTCACCCCATCATCAGCAGCAGCATGTACTGACACCACCCCCACCGGTGGAACACAAGCAACTGAAAGCACTGGAGAAGATCACTGATTCCATTGCCCACCAGGAGTCGCTGATTGTGAGCATGCGGGAAGCATTGGACAGGCAGAAACGCTTTGCAGCGGCGTCCAATTCGATCACGTCCACCGCGGGCACGGCCGACTCGTACACGGCAGACGAGCTGTTGGACACCCTGCCGTCCGAACAGCATCGGTTCGAGTACCTCGACACATAAGAACGCAGTCGTCGTCAGGTTGCGAGTTAGTTCTACGTGTACCCACCCGATGAACCAGGAAGTCCTGTCAAGGGTCGTGCCTTTGACGTTGTACAACGACCGGCCAGTGTTGTCTGTGTCGTGTCCGTTGTTGCACAGTTGCTCATATTTGTGCCAAAACCCCTTGTTTGAGTACCCACACTTTTAATAGTTCAACCATATTTGTCCGACATGCCTCGATAAAGCAAGCAAGTGGTGTGACAATTGTTGACGGAACAAAATTCTATTAATAGCCGTTGGTGTAGTATGGCTTCAATTACAGACTCAAAATGTACTGCATTTTATATTGAAAAAAGTTGTTCTGTGGTGATTGGAATCATACTAACTCACCGTATTTTACAAAATTGAGTGTGGGACACCGTTTGGCAACCTGTAAAATTTTGATTTGCTCCATTAGTGATCCCTCCAGATATGCATACCCTTCTATATATGATATACACGTAGTGGCGCGATATTTGAAAATGACAATTTGAACGAAGGGTTTTGAAATCTGAAACACCACGCAATCCCAACCACAGAAAATTTGACGACATGCCTCGACCCTCGCGGAGCAAGCCCAAAGAGTACAAATACTCGAGGTACACGTACGAGCAGAAGCATGTTATCTTTTATACCTGGACTCCCACACTGCGGCGGAAACCATCGACCGCTTCTTCTCCAGCGAATTCGGCCATTCAAGCTCCATTTCGTCCGATTCGGTTTTACTCGATTGAAAACGCATACAAATCGCGAAAACACATACTCCCCACAACGCATTCGAATTGCCAATCAAAGTTAAAAACGTCGGAACAGAAACTGGCTATGCGCAACGGAGTACCACACTCAACATTGAGTCGTAAAGTACTGTAATTAGGCCTCAACATCTAATTAGTTTGTGGCTGCAACTACCGGTAGTGTAGTTTCCATCGCAGACAGGACAACTTTTTACATACAGAATTCAGTACAAAGAACTCATCGATAGACAACTCCTATCACCACCTGTGGTACATAACCTCACGTTGCAATGTGCGCAAGATGATATTGCCTACGCAGTGGGAATGCATGCTGTGTTCATTGTTGTATTGTACGTAATGTCATTTTAGTGGTAACGTTAATGGATTAATGAGATTCCCACTGTCCTTATCTACTGTCTATCGAACTCATAGCCAAGGGAACGGGATTGGAAAAATCAGCGAGAAAGAAGACCTTGTTGAGCTTGACTCTAGTCTGACGTTAGCGGGAGCTCCTACGCAAGTGAAATAGCATAACTTCTTACTTCTCTGACTAAAGGTACCTCAAACATGCCAAAAAATGAAATGTAGCTATCTTTGGGTACATTTATTCTGCAATAAAAAATCCAATGGTCGAATTGAAGATAATTAACTGTAAAAACTGTCAACTGTAAAGTGAAAAAAGTAGGTCCTACCGGGACTCGAACCCGGAATACAAGATTCAGAGTCTTAGGTGCTAACCATTACACTATAGGACCTTATATAGGATGTATCAGTTTATATCATATAATTAAAAACAAACAATTGTTCACAGCGCTCTCATGCAGCAGCTACTAACTTTCAGACGTTAACGGTAAAATGCATATGACCGAAACCGTCGCGACTGTTCATCGAAAGCGTATCCTTCCATCGGCACATGACCAGTCGAGAATTTCTATTCGCGCAATATGGGCATCTCCAGCAGCAAGCAAGCGCGGTCGACAACGTCGCCGTCCCTACCTGCAACCCCCCACTTGACGGAGACTCCTCCGGCAACATCCTCGCACCACGCGCCGTTGATGAATGGGGTATCTGTCGCCGCACGTCGCAACGCCCACCATCACCAGCAACAGCAACAGCACCGCGCCATGACGACCGACCACGACCCGGACTGCGATACGGGCGAAATGATCCAATTGTTCATGTACAACCGGTGTCCCCGGGCCATCGTGCATCATTACATTCCGGCCAACTTGCCCATGATGCCAATCTTCACGGAGGCGTACTTGAGCGACTGCAACAACACGTGGAAGTACATCTTGAGCTCGTCCACGGACCGCATGAAGGAATTCAAGAAATCTGGCATTGTGTTGTTCTACGACGAGTTCTTCTTTCGACTGTTCCAGCGTGACTCGACGTTCAAGGAAGTGTTCCCTGACATCCGTCGGCGCGGTGAAATCCTCATCAAGGCGCTCACGCTCATGCTTAAAAGCTGTTCGGACGACAACGCCCGATTGGTCAACAAAATCCGGTACCTTGGCCATCGGCACCGGTTTTTCCCAAAAATCCGCGCGTTCCAGTTTGCCACGTACACGAGCACGATGATCGAAGTGCTCATGTACTGGCTCGGGGAACTCGCGACGCCAGACGTGGCCGAGGCGTGGAGTAACGTCGTGTGCTTCTTCATGAAGCACATGCTCGAGTCCTTCCTCACAGACCGCGTGGATCCTTTTGAGAGCTACCAGAACACGGTCATCGAGCACGCGCGTGCTCTGAGCGAACTGGACGAGGACGACAAGAAAGGAGGAGGGCCCAGTGCCATCGGGAGCAATGGCTCTCGCGGCAGCCGTGCCTCCAGGGCCTCTGTTCAAAGATAATGTAATCCATGTATCCCTCTTTACACACCGGTACACACAATAATGCAATGCTATTAATATCAAAAGACTCCAATAATGCCAATTCCTACTTCTGTTCGACATCAGCCTCATCGTTGAGCAACCAATGGTGTAGTGACTTCACGAAAACGTTGAGAGGTAGTATCAATTCCGAATCATGCCATCCATCCATCTATACTAACTATACTGGGCACGTTGCACACGCTATGATTTGCTACAAACGGGATTGCAGGAAATTCAAGTCGTCCTCAAAAGTAGTATTAACAGTTAATGTTGTGGAAAAATATAGCTTACTGTTTGTATGACACTTGATGGATTTTTATATAAAAATACAGCGTTGAAAATTTGATTATTTGTTTTCGTCGATTTTGCTATTTATATCCGCGCCTCCCCACGGTTATCCTTCGACAGGTGGTTGCGTCCGCTCGTGGCGACGACAACTACACGTGCGACAACAACATGCAAGACAATGACGCTTCGATTGTCCGCTCGTCCGCTCGGTCCATAGACGTGCAAGAGAATGCGTCCGCGGCCGGTGCGGACGTGGTCACGGTGGAAACGCTCACGCGGCAACTCGAGCAGCGGGACCTTGACCTGCACATTCTGCAGAAAGAACACGACGATTACGTGGCTTCGAGTTGTGAAATCGAGCGTGAGCTTGAAGCTGAAGTGTCTCGGCTCGAGAAAATAAACTCCAAGCTGGTCGATCAATTGCGGCGAATGAGCGACGACGTGGACACAGTGCGCGCCGCTTCAGACGCCGCTGGCAAGGAACTATCCAAGCTGCATAGCGTCATCGCCGACATCACAAAGGCCAACGCAGCACTCAAGGTCGACGTCCAACGACTGGAACAGCGCAACGACGATTTAGAACGCCGGGAGCGCGAATTACATGCTTCCATCGACGATTTAGAGCACCAACTGGACGTGAGCATGGAACAAGCTGTGTTTCTCCGGCAAGAGAACGACGAGATAATCGCTCGAGTGCGGGATAACCATGGAGGAGCTGCCACACTTGGCGGAGGCACCGGGGCGTCCGTGAATCCCCTCTCTATGGAGTCGCAGGTCAAGTACGGCACCGACGCGACGAAGTCGTCGGCGACATCCCCGCCAATGTCTCCAAAGCACTCGTCATCTCGACAACGTAGCGCGATGTACGTGACCAATGCAACCGCCACGTGCGGTCCTTCTTGTGCCATCATGTAGCATGCATGTATAGTAAGTAGCGTAAGGCGAGTCGTCGCCTCAACATATTTAACAATACTATTAATACTAAGTTGACATGACTCTGGATTGGCACTCAAAATGATGGGGAAATGTGCACTCTGCACTTGCATAAAATAGTAACACGTTCCAAGTAACCACGGGTCGCAGAAGCGGGTGTCAATGACAGAAGTCGGATTGTCGACGAGGATGCTTGGTAGGTTGGTGGGAATAGTAATATTGCCTGTGAAATACAATGTCGATGTCAAGAAGCATCTGAAAGACAGGTGAACACGGTGTACAGTAGGCGCCTACCACCACCGACAAGCATCAACGTGTAGCTGCCATTGCGATAGCCCTTTACAAAGCCGAAGCTTTCGCCATCGAAACAACATGCCCAGCAACTTCTACGCATTAACATAATGACCATATTATATTTCTGTGGGTGAAGTACATACCTTGACAGCGCGGCGATGCAGCAGCACCCACGCTTGAGCGACCACTTGCTCTTCGAGCTTTTCATGGCGAACAATGCAGCGCCATTTGTGCACAGCCTAGACGATCGAATGTTAACCCATAAAGAAGCTTAAAATGTCATTACATTGCGCTGATTCTGTCGTAAAACCAACGACCTCAACGCCACCGAGCTGGCTCTGAAGGTAGCCACTTGACGCCGCAAAGATTCAAAGCCCCGCTGTTGTCTGGTTCGAATGTATCGAAGCACTGCCACGCGCAAAACACGGTCGCGACTACGAGCGACCTGCATGAGACGAGGACCAAGCCAATGCCAATGCTACTAACGTTACCGCTGGACTTGTTGGAGAGTGCGTAGTCGGTCCAGACGATGCAGCCACACATGCCTCCGCCACCATCGAAAGTACCGAGCAGTTATTGCTTGTCGTTTCGAACGCTGAAAGTTGTGCCAAAGGTGCTCTAGATACTGTGCATTGTGTTCAAGTGTTGTCATTTTGCACAAGGCAAGCGGAGACAGACTCGTGCCCTTGAAACCGTTTTGCAACGGTCCATGCAACCGAAAAGCCGACGTAATTCGTTGGCAATTCTTGTTACTATGATCAAGAAGAAAGCTGTGGGGGGAGGTGCTTATGGCCGCCCCCAATCATCTGGAGCAACGTCGTCCCTGCAAGAAAAGCTCCGGCAATCCGAGGTCAACTGTAATACCCAACGTTAGAACTGATGAGTTGAGATCTAGGAAGCGTTAGCCACGGCTCAAAAGACGATCGCTGAGCAACAAGCTCGGGAAAAAGACCTCAAGAAACTCTTGGAGGTCCACAGTTGTATGGAGCCCAGCGGTGGAGATGTCAACGGGGGTGGCCATGGCGGTGCGATGAATTCGCTCATGGAAGGTACAATGCATGCGTCGTCATTTTAGCAACACGAAATGACAGCGACAGGATGCTCATGGTAGCCAAAACCCAAGCACTTAACCACATCCACGGCCAAAAAGTGCGCACGTTGATGAAATCGATCCACCAACTGCAGGACCAAGTGGCGACGATGAAAGCGCAAGACAAGGAACACCGTCGGTCGGCGCTGATTCAGAACCTGCGCAAGCAGCAGCGCGACCAGGAGCTGGTGCTGGACGTGCTGAAAGACACACTCAAGACCAAAGTCGGCGACTTCCACGACAGCTTGGACGCTGTACGACGACCATAGCTACGACATTCTAAGCTGTAACTATCGTTCATACATGTAGGTGAACGAGTTCATTCTCAAGAAAACGCTGGGCGGTCCAAAACGGTTTCGACCTAAGACCCGCGAAGAGCTGGAGCTCGAGTTTGTCGACCTCGACCAAAAGTACAAGCGGGCGATGGCGAGTTTGAAGCGCGTCAAGTCGGAGACTCAACAACCTCCACAGGAAGCGCCACGTCATATCTCACAATCCCACGACGTTCCAGGTACAACACAGTGTCGTGTATGGAAGGCGGCCAATGGTTTGTGTTTTGCTGGTGGTGTAGATGTCGGAGCAATGCAGCGTGAACTCGAGGCCTTGCGGGTACTCGTGGCCGCAAAGGACAACAACTTGCAAACTCAAGCGACAGATATTCAAGCCCTCAAGACACGCATGGAGGACCTGCTGTTGTATGCGACACATACCTTTCCATTGTAAATCGACTAGGCAATCGTATCTTGGCCTCTTAGAGTACACGACAAGTGGGAACGCACCAAAGCCAAATACGTGGCCAGTAAAGCAGCGATCGCGAAGCTCCAAGATGACGCCATTCGGTTGATTCAGGCCAAAGAGCTTGTACAAGCAATCCCTACATTCCGGACTTGGTATATTCAAAGCGATAATTTCGGTAGGAAGTCGCGCGGCGGGAGCAGGTGGACGTGGAACTAGCGTGGCTGAAAGACGTACAACATGCCGAAAAGGGGGACAGCGCTACACTCCAGCAACAAGTCGAGACGTTCAAGGCACAACATGCTGCCTTGCAATTACATATCGACGAACAGCAGCAAAAGTGGACGGACGATCGACTAGCCATCATGGCCCAAGTACGGTTCAATGTGTTTACGTTTTTCATGGTTTCGAGCTTGTAGCTGCGAACGCAAGAAAGCCACGTGGCGTCCATTGAAGCTCAGAGCAGCTTGTTTGCAAGTCAAGTTGTCAGCTTGACTGCGGAGCGAGGTGGTGTACAGTACAAATATTCCGTTGCATGCAATAGTTGTAGTGGTAATGACGATGTGGTGGTGGTAGATGGATTGCAAACCAAATTAAACGAATCGTTGGCTGCCACAGCCACACTGCAGCAGGTCTGGTACTTTGCGGAAACTACACCAACAACTCCATTGTAGATGCTTGCCACGCATGCCGACGACGCCGAAGTGAGGTACCACGACGACTAGTTTGTTTCAAAATGTCAACCACGTATTCACTTGAACTTTGGCAGCAACGACGCAGCAGCGCTCACTGCAGCCGCCACTAAAGAAACCGAGTTGCTGGCGTTGGTCGAGGCCAAACACCAGCAATTAAAGGCGTATGAAAAACAAATCCTGGCGTCCAAGCTCCTCGCGCGGCTGCACAAGAAGGAGAAGGAGCAACTCTTGCTACAACTTGACAAACTGCGCACGTTGGTGTCGACGTCGGCGCCGCCTACGGATGCCTCGCGGGTCATCGCTCAAGCCCAACTCAAGCTGTCCGTAGACGTTGCTGCGCCAACCATGGCAGTCGAACGGCACACGGAAGTAGCTCTAGCAACTCCACCTGCCGTCGAACCAGTAGAACATCCCGTAGAGTCGCCTGGCAAAGATCCCGCGGCCATGCCAGATCAAGTTACGCCGTCGTTAGAGACGACCCCGAACGCTGAAATTGAGTCGCAGCAAGAACAAAGAGCTCCACAAAAGTCAGTCGACTTTGTCAATGGTGTGGTGGCATCGGCGCTGCTTGGGATATCCAAAGACTCGCCAAAACTGAGCGTTGAGCACCAACAAAATGAAGCCATGCGACCAATCGAGTCGCCTTCGGCAGTTGCGGCAGAAGTGGCGGACGCGCTGGCAGAGGAGTATCGTTTTTTTTAGCTAGCATCATTCTATTAATTTCACACTACGAAATGTCGCTTGAATCAAAAGCCGGATAATGGACCTCTGTTATTAAATACTCGGAGTGTTGTCCAAACCCTTGAAATTCAATCTATGCCTTCCACGTCGGAGAAAAGATCCGAGTTGGCAAGATGACGCGGTTCGATGACGACGACAACGCGACGGACGTGCCGCTTCTGCTCGAAGAAGTTGACGCCGATGGCCTAGAGCTAGAGGAACATGTTCGACCTGAAGATGAGCAGAGCTTTGTGGAGAAGTATATCACCAGCAAGATGCAGCCTGGATCTGGTACAACCACTGCTGCCCGTCTCCACGCACTAACATGCATACTCCACTAGTCAAGGGGTCCATGTTTACCATGACCGTGTCCATTGTCGGCGCTGGTGTTCTAGCACTCCCGTACGCTCTGGAACAAGTACGTGTAGCAACATCATCTTCTTGGGGACATGTCCTACCGTGCAGCTTCACAGGTTGGATTGGTCATGGGCGTGGCCTTCATTGTGGCCGGGGGGCTCATGGCTTACTTTTCGCTGTACCTCTTGGTGGTATGCAGTGATTTGTCCAAGGCCTTGTCGTACATGCATCTGGCAACGCTGACGTCTGGGCCACGGTGCGTCCGCCTGTGTTTCCCATCTCACGAATGCCTAGGCTGTCCATGTTTGTGCAGCTCGTGATCAGTTTGAACCTGTTTGGCACATCCGTGGGCTACCTCGTAGCCAGTTCCGAGCTCATTTTGCTCGTGGTCAAGGTTCGTCGAGCCTTTCCCATATGCGAAGTTGCTCTCATCCATTCCCATCCCACACGACCCTTTTATACATTTCATAGCCGAATGGAGACCACCCGACACCGTCAGAAGCGTCGCAGTCGCGCAACGCGCTGATTGGAGCGTTGAGTTTGTGCTTTGTGTTGCCGCTGTCGCTGCTTCGGTCGCTGTCGTCGCTTCGATTCTCGTCTCTATTTTCGCTGCTGTGCATTGTATTTCTCACGCTCACGGTCGTGGCCAAGTACTTCCAGTTCGTGCACTTGGGCTACGCCCCCGACTTTGTCTACCAGTGGAACCACCTGCCGCTGGCCACCCTCGACGTCGGCCGCATCCTCACAGCGCTGCCCCTCGTCATCTTCGCCTACACATGTCACCCGAACGTGCTGCCCATCTACATCCAGCTGCAGCGCCGGTCGAGTCCGCGCATGTACAAAGTGGCGCGCCGCAGCTTGAGCCTGGCCACGGCGCTGTACGCATTGCTAAGCGCGTTTGTGTTTCTGACGTTTGGAATGGCCACGCACACCAACTTTCTGCAGAACGACTACCACCACGACGCCGCCATCATCGCCGGCTCCATCTTCTTTGCCGTCGCGATGGTCATCACCACGCCGTTGTACATTCACACGTTGCGACATGGCCTAAACGAGGTTTGGAAAAATATATATCAATCCCCTAATATTGGCTTTCTATTTTATATTCTTGCTCGATTTATTGGCGATTTCAGTCAAATTTGCCTATTTTCGGGGATTGATGCAATCGCCAATAAATCGAGCAAACGAGTCCGATTGTTGGCTACAAAGAATGAAGGTTGCAATTTGATTGGCTAAAAAGATTGGTTGTCGTCTTGCAGTCACAAAGATACCTCTGCAACTTAATTTTATATGAAATTTCGAAGGTCCAGTGATTGCTACCGCCAACGGAGGAAATTTGGAGTTGAACAAACCACACTATTTGTGTTTTGATGCAATTGATATCCTGTGGCGGGAACGAGAGATAAAACAACATACATTCGTGGAACTACATACATTCTGTTTCTTTATTGCCCATATATATGGAAGGTGGTGGTGGTGCATGGATCCAGACATACGATCCGTTCGTGTTGCTTGTATATTTGTTTATGAATCCGAATTGCGACAGTTTTGTTAAAAGTAGTCCTATTTGTTTCCAATGTAGTTTTTTTAGTCATTTCCAATATTGTGGATGAGGTACAAATGTTTTCCAGACCCCGTTGAATCGAGTAAACTCGCCGCCGAATTGAATCACGAATCGACGCTATTGGCTCATCCAATTTTGAATGGATTTGATTGGCTCTTACAGAAATGACAAGTTTATTCAACCAATCAGAACTCCAGCTTGATTCAATATTGAGTAGACAAACCACACGAATTTAAAAAAGATTATAGCGAATTCACAATATATATATATATATATTGTGTGTGCAAAAGGATGGCCGATTCATCGTGTACTGTATCACTCGTTTTGTTGAATGAGACATGTGTATATGTAGAGTATATGGGGGCCAGACAACCAAGGCAGCTTCGTGCGCCACCTGCTTGTGACCCTTGTGCTCGTGGGGGGCATCTGTGGGGTGTCCATCTTGGCCAAGGACGTGGCGACGGTGTTGGGGTTCTTGGGGGCGACAACCAACCCCATCATATGCTTTGTCCTGCCAGCGTTTTTCGTTTGCAAACTAGCCCCAGATGCGTATTGGATGGAGAAGGCCGCGTCCGTCGGCATCTGCTTGGCCACCACGGCGCTGTGTGTAGCGAGCTTGGTCCATCAAGTTCGAGCGTACTAATACTACTGCATACACACTAGTACAGTATTCATACTAGCCACGAGGGTGGTATTATGTACTAAGCGTCAGGTGTATGTACTTCTATCCGCCATATAGGGCAAAAACAGAAAAGTAGTATTATTGTGCTTTCGAGTGAAATTTCATTGTGTTGTGGTTTATCGTTGGAATTTAAATCGATTTGATTGGCTACTTCAGATGAGCTCAAAATTATTAACCAATCAAAACCTTCTCAATGAAATTCAACAACCAATCAGATCGATTGTGGATCGGTTTGGTCGGCGCGATTGCACTCCCTCCCCAAATTTGTATATCAAATCGACAATAATAGATCTTTGAGTTTAATTAGCACTGTAAGCTACTATATCATTTTCACACACGCAAGCGTATGTGTTGTACAATGGAATTTAGAATACACGTGTTAGGTTCAAGCAGGAGGATGGAAGTCGACGGGTTGTGAGTCGAGTGCCATGTACATGGCATAGTCGACAATGGAGTCGGCCGGGTGGAGCTTGGACTTGTCTTCGTGGACGTACTCGCCGCTGGTAAACGCGAATTTGCTGAATCGATCGTTGTCCTGCCACGTATGGAGGTGCGCGTGTCGAGAGGGCGCGTCGGACGACGTGGTGGGGAAGTCTAGCATGGAGTCGTCCTTGGCAACCCCAAATTCGCGGGTGCAGTGGTTGATGGCGATGTGGCCGGCGTACATGGACATGACGCCGATGTGCCACTTGGGCCAGCCCTTGATGCCATAGTCAGGGCTCTTTTCCTCGGCCGTGAACTCGTTTGCGTACAAGTATTGCATCACGGACATAGACAAGTTGGCGCACGTCCGGATAAGAGACGTGGGGCCGTACCATGTAGATCCGACGTTGTCTAGGGTCATCGTGGTCATGTTGAGCGAAGAGATGATGGACGCTAGGCGGTCGCCGGTCGTGTAGCCCGGAAAAGAGTACGCTCCCTGGCCCACGACCATTATGGGTGGCTTCCACGTGGAAAACGCTGGGGTCAGGAACGTGTCGATGTCGGTGCGGAGGACCCAATCGTACATGTCGAGGTCGGTCCCGTTCAATCCGACGACGTTCACCGAGTCGGCATACCTGTACGGAAACGCGTCCGAGTACACGCTCGTGTACGTGGGGTGGATGATGCACATGTTGGCATCGTCCCGGGACGTCCGCCGCACGGTGACGCTGCAGTTGAGCGCTTCGAGGGCGGGCAAGTTGCCGTCGCTGTACACGACAATGTCCGTGCGCCACGTCGACGGCTCGGTCTTTTGCATTTCGAGCCACGACCGACGAAACCACCGGAACTCGTGTTCGAACTTGGGCTGGTGCGACGGGAGGTAGAGCACCGCAGCGCGCACAAACGATTGGCTCCCTGACCCGGCGATGGTGGAGGTCCACGAGGAAGGATCGTAACTAGAGATCACGTGGCTAGCGGAGGTGAAGGCGCCAACGATGTGCTTGTGCCAAGACCTCGCCACATCGTGCACTAGAGCAACGTCCACTTCAAACAGGTAGGCGAGTGCGGTCAGTTGCACGACCACCAGGACGAGAACGCCGACGAGAATGCGCAGCAAGGTCGACGAACGACCACCTCTGACAGGGGCAGCGGTGTTCTCCAGCAGGGTGTCCGTCTGAGTCGGCGAGGACGGCTCCACGTCGGCCATATAGATGAGAAGTGCGCATGTTTTGAGTTGACCACATCAGATTCAGGCCACAACGTGAAATACCTTTTTACCCTCTGACAAAGGGTAAATATAACCAGGTGAATTACCTTTACCCTTTTATAAAGGGTAAATATAACCAGGTGAATTACCTTTACCCTTTTATAAAGGGTAAAAGGTGTATTTCTACCCTTTAATATGGTACAAGTACCGGGCAATAGCATCTCCATCGCGGTTTTTGGGAGGTCCAGTGATATTTCGGGCAAAACACACTGCTGGTAAAAGTTGTGCCCAAATTTGAGAGTTTTTCCGCTGGGGAAGTACAGATGCGACATTTGTACATTCAGTAAGTACATCGCTGTCTCATTTGTACTGCCAGCAATAGCTAAGGTGATTCATGTGGTAATTCCTGGCGACTTTCTGAGTTCCATAACTCGTCACCCATTCATCCGATCAGTCTGCGAAAACATGCATTTTGAAGATCGTGACGAGCTTTATAACTTTATGCAGGTCCCAAGTAAGTCACTTGACTGTGAGTACGTACTGTATGCCTCAATTGGGTGACGAAATCCTCATAACCTCTTAATAATTATATTTATAAAGTGTTCAAGTAATTAAATTTAGAAGTACAACTAACGTTAATGTAAAACCTGTATTACATGGCATACTCAACATTAAAAGTTTCAAGAGTACGAAATTTTGTCCAATCATAGTCCATGGATGATTGTGATTGGACATTTGCTGGCCAGGAATTACATGAACTTACAGTACAGAATCACAACACTTGACTCTCCCTATTAAGAGAGTTTTTCGAAGCACGTTTGAGATAACCCCACCGGTGCGGTGCGACTGTAAACGCTATTTTACAGTTCTATCCGGATTATTTACAGTTTTGACAGCCCCGCAAAGCGCCTGTAAAATACAGGAAACCGTATAATTTTACCGCGAGTCTGCAAATTGACCAGATTTACAGTTTCGACTGTAAAATACCAGTACAGTTTTGACGAATTAGCCAATAACATGTTATCAATGGATAATTTTGTCCCATCATCGGTGTCATGTATGTGAACGGAAAGCCAACAAGAGCACATGGATCCTTCAAACGCGCTCGTGTCTCACACTGCACAACCTGGTCGAGAGCATCGGCAACCCAACCAAAGCACAACCTTCGCTGAGCAGTGAGACAAGTTTTCAGCTGTGAATGACCGATTTTCCTCACTTCCATCAATGAATGCTGGTGGGCCGCTGGGTGATGCCCTAAGATTCAGGTTGTGGGACTCATCTCAAAAGTGGAAAAAGTAAACCTTTCGGTGAAGAATTCAAGATTCTGAAATGAAATATTCACAACTTGTACTACTTTTCAGAGATTCAGATACGGATATTAACCGAACGACTGTGTTTTTGCCGTTCCACCAGTTTCGACGGACGAGGCGTCGAGGGTGAAAGTAGTTGGGCAGAGATACGAAGCGTAGTAGGGAGAATGGGGGAAACTCAAATCAGCGCCGCAATACCCATGGAGATTAACGACAGATTATACCCTCTCTTGAAATATCCGTGTAATTCGTATATTTCGGTTGATTTATCCGGATAATTTGAGTCAACGCTACAAATCCCTGTTCAAAATTGGATTGTTGGGTGAATGAATATATAAACATCAACCGTTCAATATCGATGGATTCGTCGCGGACTTGTTCCACACGTCGCTGGGAAATCCCAGAGAATCAGTTAATGGAGCTCAGCCAATTTTGAATCATGGGTCCCTAGGCCACGCCGAGGTTATAGCGCTCAGAAAAGTTCCCTCGATATGGCCCTATTTAATTTTGCCAAAACTCCGGAAAAACCACGAATACATGACAGAACCACACATGCATGCAACCTACTGCTTCTTGTATCCGAGTCGGGGTGTTATTAGTGGCCATTCAACATGTTCACCCAGTTCCTTGGTTCCTTTGCTCTGAAGAATGACAACCAGTCGCTCGGTTAGCCGCTCCGCCATCCATTCTTGACGTCTAGCTATCGCTCTGTCCAAGATATGTCTTGTATGGATAGATTAGGCGACTCGAGAAAGTCACCACTTTAGCCTTGCATGAGCCTATGAATGTCGATTGCGTACCGGCCTGCGGATGCGAGGCTGGCTGATGCCACCCAGTCACCATTATCCGAACATATTATCCGTATCCCCTAATCTTAAAACTTGAGACACTTTTGAGATACCGTAACAAGAGAAGTGTAGAAGAACCCAATAAATGTCTGAAGACCCCAATAAATCGGCTGAAAACCCCAATGGGACGTCTGGTATCGTTATTTAGTACTAGTTTGTACCACTGTAACAATGGTTTGGGGATACTAGACGGATAGAGGACAGTAGAAAACGGAAATGCCACCAACTCCGCGGACACCAGCTGGGTACTATTGAGAAAGGGCATAAATTGCACCATGGACTACCTAGTAGGCTCGAGTTGCTACACAGGACAATTTCATCTTCAGCAGGACACTTCCAAAGTTGGCAGGCCAAATTACCGTATAATTCAGCGTTAACCAGCCAGGACCGATACTCCACAAAATTGAGCAGGACAACTTAGATTGTGCAGGACATCTACAAGTATAACTTATGTTCCCACTGCAGTTCAGATGCAAATCAACACGTGTGGTGAATGTCTTATTGATTACACTAAGGCATAACTTTCGCTGTTGTAACTTCCATCGCAATAATTACACAAGCATTGGATGTTCCACTCTGGTCCCATGTAAGAAATGGAAAGAACTGTGAACTTTTGCATGTGTCGAGAGTCCACAACAACCCATCGGACTTCACCATCCACGAACCAGGGTACCAAGACACAATTGGATACACACGAATGATTGATGAATCACGACTCGTTCCCCGCATACATTGCATCAATGTACAGTCCCCCCTGTTCTCGTGACACGGTGGCAAGGTACCCACCCATGTCATGAGCTTTGCGATGCATGAACTCGGCTATGCCAATACGCTCCCCAACGTATTCAATGATTTTCGTGCCAACAACAACGTCTTCTTCAAGCCTCAACACGTATTGGAGCTTCGGGCACTCTACAACCTTCGTTTTAGAGTACCGACGACGTTGTATTGCATTGTTGCGGCAGTTCAAACCAGCGCTGCAGCGTCCTGACGCGCATTCAGAATAGGTCATGACGTTGTCGCAGATTCGTTGCGAAACACAAGGCGACATGGCATTGTATCGTGTGCAGGATTCGTTGTGGACACCTCGTTAGTACTTGCCCCCTCGAGAAAATTGGCTATGCGAGGTGGGAGGCCTGTCGTCGCAATCGGTTCGCAGCATATGTCGATGTGTTTGTAGCCCAAGCCGTACTCGTCTCGATTTGCTAGCTTCATAGATGTTCCGTCTTGAAACGTCATTGATGTCACGTCTTCGTCGTCGTTGTCAGTTTCACGGTGGCTGTCAGGACGGTTCGTTGAGCTTGGGTGGAGAAGAGGCAGATTTGCATTGTCAATGTCAACGGCTGCGTGGGATGGTGTCCCGTTTGCGGGGTTCGATGGAGCGCCGTCACCGGACGGCACAAAATGACCGCGTTCGGCTGGATTAGTGCCGGCTGCTGGGTTCGAAAGAGCACCGGCACCGCAAGGCATAGTATGGCTGGCGTCGGCTGATGTCAACCTCAATCGATTGTTGAACTTCTCAAGAAAGTGTTGTTGCACGAAGCGGGTGCACCACTTTCGGAAATTGTCACCACATTTCCATGTGGACTGAGACTTGTAGAGCCATTCGGGCCAAATCCCGCGAGCTTGGGGCCTTACGCTTGCCATATCCAACGGGTCGGGCGCTGATACGATCCAGGCGAACAAAGTCTGCGACTTTTGGTCCAACTTGCGCACTTGCTTGTTGTCGCCAATCATTCCTTTCTTCGTCATGTTGTGCTCCATGGTCTTGTCCACAGCATTGATCGTCTGGGCGTTGCCAAGCCATTTTTGAATTGTCGACAACGGGATGTCATGGCGCCGGCTGAATTCAACTTGACTGATATCGGTGGAGGCGGCCCATGCCTCCAGGATTGACTGCTTGTCGGCATACGATCGATGCACGCGGACGAGGGAAGCTTCCATGTGTGCTTGGATGCAAATTGAACAATGAGTCCACTGAAATTTGCGACATCCTTCTGCAAAGTTTCCAAGATTTTTCCAGAAATTCGATTACTTTGATGATTTTATCCAAAAATTTCCATACAATTTCGAATTAAGCACGACACTTGCATTTTGTACAGGACATAATCGTATTCGGCAGGACACTGTCAAATTAGGCAGACCGCCAACATTTCGGCAGGACCGCCAACATTTCGGCAGGACTCTCTGAACATTGACCTCACTATACTGTCATTTGGAAGGACAACCATGGATGGGACTACTCGAAGTCGTGCAATCACCATACGTGCTTCAACGTGGCTAGAGCTTTGTCCGGAGTATTGTGCCACAGCGTGCCCTGTCAATGGCATTTGCATTCGAATTCCGCATCATGCAATCACGAACATCCGAAGTCCCTCCAAACGGAATTTCAGAGGCGGACCTCGACTTGGCGAAGGCATTTTACAACAATGCCAACACGAACAACATACGACACGAACGTATTGGATTGGGGGGGGCGGCAGTTGGAGTGTGGGTGGATGTTGTGTACTCGTCCAGGCTCGTTGTTTTGCCACTGCAACTACTTCTTCAAGAACGCGTTTTGCCGCCACCTATTGTTCGCACTTGACATCGCCAACAGTGATCATTATGGCCGAACCAAGCTGCCCCTCGCGTTTAAAAGTCTTGGCAGCAAGTCGCGTGGCGGAGGCAATCGATTTGGGGGACGTGGAAACAGCTCGCGAAGCCGAAACGAAGTGGGTCCTGCGTTGAGTCTACAGTAGGCAATATGTCGGTAGACCTTCATGGTAACAGTATCATTGTACATCTAAAGAGCCGAAGACTACTGCATGTTAAAGGCAACTTTGCGTTGGCGTGAATTTGAATAAAAAAATAGCGAAAAAGAAATGACACTGGTTGGATTTGAACCGACGACAACCCTCTCACACACCGACGCTTTACCACGTGACCTCTCCGGTGGCCAAAATGCGCGATTTTGGCTTGAACACGTTTCCGGCGACGCGCGACGCCGCCTCCACCGATCCTGCTTCGCCGCCTATGGTGCGTGAGTATGCCACCTCCCCGGGTCCCATGGTACCTGTCGGTGTGCCAAACGGCACCTCAAACGGCGCCACGGGTGCAAAGTTGGGTCCTTCGACGACGTTGAGCCACCACCTGGCCATGGCTAGCCGGCCTGGGACCACCACCGCGAGTGCTGCAACCGCTCCTGCGCCTATGCTGCGTGACCGGTCAGCCTCACCACCATCCACCGGGCCTA